AATTATGATAAGAATAATGAACGTTATTTGTATAGCGCATATCACAAAGAAAGTCCCTTTGCGCTTAGAAAAGAAGGAAATAGAGATAGGGCGGAATGTCATTGTCTCTCCCTCCCTTTCTCCTTGCTCCCTCTCTCTTTCTCTTTCTGTCTCTGTCTTTCTCTCTCTCTCTCTCCCCCCCCCCCCCCCCATCTCAACTCTCTTCCTCTCCTCTGATCCCGATCTTGCTCGTCTCTTTCCTCTGCTCTCTTAACTATGTTTAATGAGTTCAGGAAACAAAATTTAAAGCCAAAAAAAATCAGGTAGTTAAGTAGAATGGCAAATGTTTTTATTCAATTTCTAGATACGTATTTTCAAAATACAGCTTAGCTGGCATGCTCACATGTACACATGGTGACAAATTCATTCAGAATACAGTGTGCTTTCACAGTCAAATGGGCAATAGATTACAGAGACCTACTATGGCAGTTTTGGCAAAATATCATTACTATAGTGACAAATAAAATTAAGTAACATATAATCAACAACAACAAAATTAAATAAAAAAATAATTAAAAATAATTATTTAAAAAAAAATTAAAAAAAATAAAAAAATAAAAAAAAAAAAATCGCTTCTAGTTGTCATAAAAAGCATTGCAACGTCATGAATACTGTACAGACAATGAATTTTTTTCTCAGGAATACAATTGATTGTAAAAGTTCAATAAAAACATAGAAATCTACAGTAATGATAAATTGTTTTGTTGAGAGGAGAACCGTTAAAAATTCCTGCAAGAGGAATAGCATCAAAGTTATTACAATTTGAAACCATAGTATTTAATACAGTGTTTGATGTAACACAATATAATGACAAACATACCAGTACATGTAGTTTGTTATAATTCTATTGACTTGGTCTCTGCAGGGTAAAAGATGCATTTACTACTTTCATGCATACTTTCCCAGCAAAAGTTTTTCTTGACAACTTAAGGTTTGTCAGAGGCATGCCCTGACATAGCAATAACTAATGAAATGGATGGTAACCAGGGGTTAAGGAGAAAAACATTAAAAAACATTGAAAATTAAAACAGACTAGTAAACAGATCTATTGTAGAGAATCAAGCTTATTGTACATTGTCAGTCAAAAGTAAGAAAACAACAATGGTGGACAAAATAGGACTTCAATGTTAGTCCTTACTACCCTAAAGGATTGATATAAATAAATGCACACGAGGTCTTGGTTGAATAAATTAAAAGCACACTCAATTCCTAAAAGTGTCGATACTATTATGCACAAGCAGAAATACATGTATTAGCCTTTCATAACAACTGTTTTCTGTGGGAAATCAAGCACTGGTTGGCCGTCAACACCATTCGATATTCACCTGGTATCACGACTAGTGTTGACTTTTCGTTGGGTGGAGCAGACGGAGCAATCTAAATCTTCTGTGACAATATTTTCAAATTAAGTGTAAATCATGATTATTTTACAAAAAGTATGTATAATAAAAGCAGTCTTGCTGCCTGTAGATATACACACAAAGTTATTGCCCTTCTGGCTCTCAGAAGACATATGTTTGTTAATATATTTTCGAAACAATTTTGTGTGTGATAATTTTTTTTTAAATGTGTTACTTTTTGCTTGATAAAACATTGAAATGATAAAATATATGAATACAAAGCTCCATCAAAGACTTTGTTTCTGAATTTCCAGTATTTTTCTTGTACAAGAAACAACAGAAAAATGCGTACATTGCATAGTTGTAAGTAAACATATGTTGTCTTATCTACAGGAGAAATGAATGAATGAAATGAATTGAATTGAATTGAATTGAATTGAATTGAATTGAATTGAAAACAAAATCCTGCTTTAGATACATAGATTCAACTTGCCTCTTGAATATCAATGGCTTATCCCATCACACTGTTATCCAAACCATATGATCAAATTAAGCAAATGCGCTAAAAAAAATCAATGTAAATACTATTGAGAAATTTTATCTGAATTTGAAATTAAACGATTCTCATTATTGAATTCAATATCCTCGTTTGCAAAAAGTTGAATTTCAATTTGAAAGGTAGTGTATTACATCGCCTGAGTTATTTAACACCATTTATTTAATTATTAATGTCCAGTAGTAGCACGTCATGTTATCACTGCCTCTTTATATCAAATAATAATGACCGTGTAAAAATATACTTATTTGTAACATATTACCCGTATACAGAACTATATGTTTACAAAAAAAAATATTACTTGTGGGTTAAAAGCATTAACAAAACCTCCATTGTTATTGGAATTGATATTCTTTGACAATAAGCTAGGTGAGTTAACTTTCCATCATATTAAACCATGTGATTCTATTATATGTCAATTTCTTGCTGTGCTAAGGAATTCAATAGCAGCTATTGAAACCAGTCATCTATTTCAGTAGGTTCTCTGCACATGTATTATCTCCTGATAAAAGTCTTTATATCACAAATATTTCCCCAGGAATGTGAAAGGAAATGTAACAAATCACATTTACAACGTCCAGAAATCTCCCTTTTGCCAAGAATCATAGAATTCTGTAAAAAAAATTTGCTACATCCTAGCATATCTTATGCATTAGAACAAATCTGGGGGGTGTTTCACAAATATCCCAAGTCCAACTTAACTCAAAGTTGGACTTAAACATTATGGAGAGCCATTCGTAGCCTTGAAATACAATATATTCTAAAGCAAAAATTTAAGTATTTTAGACTTTTTATAAATTCCACATCAAGAACATGAAATCTCCTTGATAATAGAAAAAACGAATGATTTGAATCAATATTTTATGCCTTTTAAAGTAACTTTTACAAAATATTTTCAAAGATGCTTTCCATAATTTTTAAGTCCAACTTAGAGATAAGATCAACTTAGGATCTTTGTGAAACACCCCCTGTATAATGATGAATGTAACAGGATAAGGAATGTTTCTTTCTACCTTCCCTGTATATCATCTTCATTTATTACATGGAAACATAATGGAATGCTGAACAAAAAATATGAATATATTCCCAAGAAAAATTCTTCTCTGAATCAGTTTCATATCCTCAATATCTTCTAATATAATAATATGCCTGCAAAAATAATTTGAATACCATGTACATATACGCCTGTTACAATTTTTTCCTCAAGAAAAAAAAAATCATTAAAATACTCTTTCATCACAAATATATATATAGATCTAACACATCACTGGCATTGGCAGACATTAGATAAAAGCTGACATTTTTTTGAGGCTGAAAACAAAGTGCTAAACATATAAATCTGCCATTTTCATGATATTCACATGTTTTCTACTAATTTCATTACTGGAAGCAGTGCACACATAAAGTTTTTCTTATTTTACAACTGTCCTGGCTCTGATATCAATTTACATAATGAAGCCCATACCTCACATCAAGTTTATTAAAACAATATTAGGATGCATTTCCTTATGTACAATATAATACAAGTGCAATATAGCTCTCTATATGAACATATCCATGCAATCCTGATAATAGAAAAAGAAAAAATAACATCAAAGTTACCATAGAACATACAATTAAACCTCTCTACAGCAACCATACACTGTGAAACATGATCTAACATGGCTAGGAGGTCTTTCTATAAAGGTCAAGTCATAAAATCTGCATCTAAATTCATCAGCGTAAAATTCTGGCCTTTTTTGCTCCTTTCTTTTGATGGCAAATTTTTAGTTGCCAATTTGATGATTACCTATAATTCAAAAATGACCTTTAGTGCGAATTACAGGTTTTATTTCTCGCCTCAAGCCTGTATCCCAATGATGTTACACATGCATACAAAAATATGCTATCTATTCAAGATAATTAAAAAGACATGATATTACTACTCGCACTGTTTTTAAAAACCAAGTGATTATTTCAGCCTATGTATTGTTCGGTATAAAAACAAAACTCGTTTTAAATAGCGACATTTATACGAAAATTGATATCCAATATTATTCAATTCAATTGTTTCATGTCATGTACAATGTAGAGCTTTTTACGAGTTTTTTTTTATCGAGTTTACAGGTTTGTCAACAGAGCTTGATTAAAAACAGATCCAATCAATGCAAGTTGAAAAAAAGATTTTAAAAGGTTAAAAATAGCCTAAATTGCTTGAAAGTGATGACATTCCAAAATCGTTTATAATGTTTTTCCATCTGCTTTTCGTGCTATTTCTATTGTCATATCATAAAACTCACACCATGCATGATGAATTGGAAGTAAAAAAAGTCCACTAAATTGGCCTTTTAGGTCCAAATGTCTAGATATCAAAATCCTAATTATCTATTGACAAAATGAACCTGCTAAAATGATTTGGAGAATCTAAAACTCATCATAGTGTTGTTCTCTCAATTCATCATCATCATCATCTGCTATTTTGTACACCATCTCTTCTAAGCTATATAAATCATTTCATCTTTCATACAAAATATACAGACATTTATTTTATTTGGTCGCAAATCTCCAACTTCTCTAGTAACAAGTTATCATCGATGTAAAGAGGGGTTGGGGGAGAGAGAGAGAGAGAGAGAGAGAGAGACAGAGAAGCATTGCATAATACATCATATCATGCACAATGACACATTCTATGATACACATATACAAAAGGAGAATAATCTCAATATATTATGAGAACATTTCTTGTTCTGATCATCAGAATGGATGTACATTGATTTCAGATGCACACAAATGGCAGATCATGATTTGAATGGTTCCGATCGGATTCAGCTGGTATAAAATCTTACTCTCCAAGATGGTTCATTCTTTTACAAGGATGTATAGGTAGTTATTGCAGCGAATCATTCACAATTGCAAGTTTTCAGTAGCAGCCTGTAGAAGCCTTTGTGGAGGTTGTTAAAAGAATCTGGCAAATATGCTAAAGTGAGTCCATGTATCAAAAGACCACCTGTCTATAAAGACCACCTGTCTATAAAGACCACCTGTCTATAAAGACCACATTTGCCTTGAACAGTATTTTTCATTGCCACCTGTTCTTACGTAACCCTTGCATAAGGACCACATGCTTACATATATGACAACTGTTTTTCTTGTCTCCCTCAAGGGCCCGGTTGCATAAAACGTACCATTGATGGTAACTTTGCCACCAATGGCAACTACCATGGTAACAAGGCTCAACAGCCAATCAAAATCAAGGTTTCCATGGAAGTTACCATTGATGACAAAGTTAACATCAAAGGTACTTTTTGTGCAACAGGTCCCAGATGTCTTTAAGTACAGGATTGACAGTATCATCAGCCTCTTCACACAAGCTACCACATGGCGCTACCATAAAGGTTTCAATCGTGAATGTCACTCAACCAACAAACCTGACAGAGAATGTCTAGAGGGATTCTATTTCTTCAAAGGTCATTGATTCTAGAGCCCTTGGTGGTCTAGGAACCCCAGAGTCTTCTGAGTTCTCTGTGTTCTCATCATCACTGAAGCTAATGTGTAGTTTGGTGTCTGGGATGGCTAGGTCCGACTGAGGGGACGTCGGGGACTGGGGCGATTGGAGACTGGAATCGGGGGTGGTAGACATGTCTTCTTCTTCTTCGATGCTACCAGATCTCTTAGCCTCCTTCATCGCCTCCACGCTATGGATGCTCCCCCGCGCTTGGTGGTAGCTCTCTCTTGAATCCCGCGATGATGTCGACTTGCGCTTGGACGGCTTGTCGATTGGTTCGATGACGTTGGAGAGGCTATCGTCCAGCTGAGGTTGAGGGGTGGGCGGGGCCGAATTAGATGTGAGCTCTACCGCCATCTCGTAGGACGGGGGCGTGGCATTCATCTCAACCGGGAGTGAGCCCCGATGCGATGGTGCGGACATTTTCCTGGCTGAATTATGTTGGTTATTGTTGGCTTTCACCTCGGTCTGGTTGTGCCCAAGGGCTAGAGGATTCGCCGTTGCGTCTTGCATAGGAGCGGGAACGATGATACGTATATTGCCATTACCGTTTGATTCGCACTGTCTCGAATCCACCACGTATCCTGCATATGGAATACTCGAACTCGACGTATCAAGGTTTGCACCCTGCGACATTCTGCTGCCGCATTATCTTCTGAAATGTTCAGCTTCTTGAGGTTCATGACAGCACCTTCTTCATCGATGGACACCGTGAAGTCTTCCTGCTGGTTCTCCTGTCCGTCGTTATTGAGCTCATTGTTGCTATCGCTCATGCTGCTGAGGCTCTGCGCCCCTTGCATGGTGGGCATCGCCTCCGTCGAGATGTTCATGGGTGCCATACCGACCCCCATGCCGCGCCCAAAGTTGGCATTCTCGTAGACGGCCTGGCTATGGTCCATGCCTCCGTTTAAGAGGAGTGTGTCTTCCATAAGCGGGAACTCTGGCAGGACCAGACCGTGTGGTGAGAGACCGTAGTCCACCCCTAAGGGCAAGGGGGGTGGGATGGTGAAGGGGTTACCAGGACTGTGGGCCATCGAGCCATGGAACTTGGACTCCAGGTCCTGTATGTGCGTCACCAGTTCTTGTTGATGGTTCAGCAGGTCTCGGTTGTATAGCAGAAGCTGATGTACTCTCGTCTGTAGAAGATCAAAGAGAAAGAGAAAGGGGAAAAGAAAAATTACAAATAAGAAAAAATGAGTAAAAAGCTAGTGCTTGTAATCAGAAAGAATTCAGGCTACAGACTCCGTCCCTTGGATAGGACGTTAAATGGAGGCCCTGTGTAAAGGAGAGTCACCCCTGTTGCACGTTAAGAACCCACTGCACTATTTGTATAAGAGTAGGGGGAGTAGTGGTCCACCTACATCCCCTGATCAGGCCGAATATATACAGCATCTGCAAGAATCTCCAGTATTGAAGGAGGCAGATTATCTTGAAGAAGAGAAGAAAAAGAAGCTCTCTGAGAAACTTAGAAATGGTATTGCAATGACGTAACGTACATCAGCAGGAGAGTCTTTTAAACTACCCAGCATTCAATACTTCAAGAAAGCAATACAAACCTTCCTCTACTAACTATATCAACCCTTTAAAAACAAAAAGAAGATATAAATTCAATTGATCAGCACTAAACATATGGTTTCTCAAAAAAACATACAGGCATTTCATGGAGAAGAGATGTGATTTTACCCTTACACACATGAAGATATACCAGTATTAAAAGCTTTAAAAAAAAAAAAAAATTGCTTCCAGCACCTAAACTGTGAAGCATTGAGAATTGTTTCTCTACATCCCCTGTATTCACACATTTTATTTTATGCTTTGACTACTGTGCAAGATCCGCATGGCAAAGCTTAGGGAATAGAAATCCAGTATGAAACAGTTGATAGAGGTAAACCGATTCTCATTTACACAACTGGGCCCTGTTTCATAAAACTTGATACCAATAACAAGTTACAAGCTACTGTTATAAGCTACTGAAATCCTTGCTTCTGATTGGCTGAGAGCAAACTTGATATCAATAACAAGTTACAAGCTACTGTTATAAGCTACTGAAATCAAGGCATCTGATTGGCTGAGAGCAAACTTGATATCAATAACAAGTTACAAGCTACTGTTATAAGCTACTGAAATCCTTGCTTCTGATTGGTTATCTGCAGATTTGTCACTGATATTAGTCATTTGCCATTGAAAAAAAAGCTTTGTGAAACGGGTCCCAGAAGCCTCTCAGACTGGACCTTCATACATCAAGGGAAAATGGGCAATATAGGGAAAATGGTAACAAAATCGAAACAAACAAGAAATAGGAAAGTTGAAGTCTTATGTTGTTTGCAAGAGGGGGATATTTTTCACAGGAATTGTATTTGACAATTCTTTTATAGTCTCTCCAGGCAACATCAGAACACGTGAAAGTTGGGTTGTGTTTTTGAAGGCGAGCCATGATGTGTTTTTATGTAATAATGACTTGGCTAATTTATGAAACAGTGCCCAGACCAAGTCAGTAAAAGTACATGATGTATTTTGTTTTTTACTTGGCTTTTTTATGAAACAAGGCTCAGGCTTGGTCAGTAAACATGAAGACGGACTGTCTTTCTGAGGGGCAAGCAATGTTTTCCATTTTGACTCAACTGTTATATGAAAGAGGGCCAAATAAAAAGGTGGGCTGTATTTCTGAATGCAAACCATGAATCATGTCATGATATCTTCTTCTTATTATTATTGTGACTCAACTATCATATAAGTTGGCCCAGGCCATGCCGATTAATGCGACTTTGGACTAAGTGTGCGAAGACAAGCCAGATATGTTTCTACCCAGTGAAACCTGTCTGTAAAGACCACCCGAGGGAGACAAGAAAAGTGGTCTTTATAGGCAGGTGGTCTTTATGTACAGGTTCCTTTAGTACATGTTTCAATGGAAAACCATTTTCAAGGGAAACAAAAAATGTGGTCTTGGTAGACAGGTGGTCGCTAAAGCAGGTTTGAATGTATTATGATTTGGCTGTTTAATGAAACATAGCCCAGGCCAACTCATTACATCTGGAGGTGGGCTAGCTGTCTTTCTGATGGCAACCCCATGTTATAGCATACATGATGTCTTCTATTTCGACTTCTCTGATTCACCACTTCCTTCCCCTTCCTCCATGACTCAAGGCGTTCCTTAACCCCTCCAATCCCACCCGTGTCTAGCCCCAGACAGACACAGACACAATCCAATGGGGGTGTCATCACTCCTCTCTTCGTCTCAGATCGACAAACGTCATCTCGAGTTCTGATGATTGCAAATTCTTAAATTTGCACAGAATCATACAGAGATTGTAAACATAGGCCAAAAATTTGTGATATCTGTGAAACTGATTTGATATCAAAAGCATTATGAGTAATAGGCAATGAAGTGGTTTGTTTTGTAAGCTAGATCAATAGAACATGTAGCCATATACATGCACTTCTAAACTGGAGCATTTTCATGTACGGTATATGGTTTCAGTATGTATGTACCTTGTTTACAGTTTGCTGAGCTAAACAATTTTAAATACTGACCAATAAACATTTTCACAGTGACTTTAAAGCCTGTCTGTACTAGTTTAGCCAGAAGGAATTATACCACCCAGCAAGGTTACTGACAGGTGGTTATCTCATCAACTCGGCTCTCAATTAACATGAGAAAAAGAGGATCATGGGGGACCAACGAGCACCGTTTTGGCATTGTTTTCTATATAGAGAGAGTAAGTAGCTACAAGTAAATGTAGTACAGTGGGGCTTTAAGGCAGCACATTTTCCCTTCAAAAGCAGTTACCTAATCAGACCTCAGAACTTACCTTGTTATAAGCTACTGTGATTCAGGGCCTTGTTATAAGCTACTGTATCAAGGCACATTGTTACAAGCTACTGTGTCAGGGTGCATTGTTTATGTTTAGGTAACCCAGTATAATCCAAGCAGGCAAGACGGAAGGTGCCTCTAGAGATCTCACTGAAGACAGGAAGCTCATCCTCAAGATGCCGTTGTATCAAATAGGCAAGGTCAGAATGGGAAGAAACTAACCCCATTCTTGGAGCAACATCAAGTAACAGATTCTATCAATTTTCCTGTACTATTTTCCTTTCTCCTGTATCATGTGCTTATCAACATGGTTTGAAGATTTTTATAATGAACACTCTTTACTTTCTACAGTAGTATTTATCTTTCTTCTGCATTATTTGCCTTTCTCCTGTATCATGTGTTTATCAACATGGTTTGAGAATTTTTATATCTAACACTTTTTCCAGCATTATTTATCTTTCTCCTGTCTTATCTCCTTTATACCAACATGGTTTAAGGATTTTACATTTGACATTCTTATTTTCTCCTGTATTCTTTGCCTCACTCTGCAGGTCTTACTGCATTTGCTTACTAACATGGGGGTGTTTCACAAAGATCCTAAGGTGAAATTATCTCTAAGACGGACTTAGCAATTATGGAAAGCCGTTCGTAAATCTATGGAAATATTATGTAAACGTTATTTTAAAAAGCATAAAATGTTGATTCAAATCATCAACATTTTTTATTACCATGCAACAGGGATTTCATGTTATTGATGTGGAATTTATAAGAAGTCTAAAATACTTCAATTTTCACTTTATTTTAAGGCTACAAATGGCTCTCCATAATTTTTAAGTCTAACTTAGAGTTAAGTTCAACAAAGGATCTTTGTGAAACACCCCCATGGTTTGTTATTTATTAATTGATAGGTTATCTAACTTTCTCCTGTATTCTTTGCCTTTACCCCCGTCAAGCCTGTCTGCATCATTTTGTAGACACAATGGTTAGAGGATTTTACATTTGATGCACAAACTTGCTTGAGGATCAAAAGATTAGATGACAAACTAAATGAAATCCTTAACATGAAAAACCTTAGAGGCGAGAACAATGAAAGAGATTAAATGCACCTCGTGGTAAACCTTCATGATGACAGGTTTAACAAGAAAACCTTCCAATAAGCACATGAAGTCATATCCATTGTTAAAGGTTTGACTGACATTATTTAATAAATGCTGATCTGAACTACGAAAAGCGCAATAGTTCATAGAATTGCATTTACCCTAAAATACATCATTTAACTAAAATCTATTTTGAAAGATCTGTAAATGATGAACATAATCATATATGATATACACAAATTGTGCATAATTTTCACTAGAATACTAGGAAATTATACAGTGTGAAAAGAGTAATGTATAATTAGAATGCTGCCAGTCAATTTTTTTAATACACAGCAGCTTTTATATGACCAGTCAGAGCATTCTACTTTAAGGCCTGTCTGCACTGGTTTGGCCAGGAGGGATTAGACCTCCCTGCAAGGTCACTGACAGGTGGTTATCTCATCAAATCAGCTCTCAATTAACATAAGAAAAAGGGGATCTTGGGGGACCAACAGGCACCGTTTGCATTGTTTGCTATATAGAGGGCGCAAGTGGTGCAGTGGGGCTTGAAGACAATTTTGACATATACAACTATACTTCTCTACATCTTCATTGTATTGCCCAGCCTAAACTCTCTTTAAAAAATAACAACCCTTAAATTTTCTAGAAAAAAAATGATGAATGCAGCCAGAGATATTTCCGATCCGAGAGTCGGACAGGAGAATCTTCTAGAAGAGGAATTCATTGCCAATAAACCTGCCGAGGCTGGCTTTCTGTGATGAGATCAATCATCCTACTTCCTTGTCTTGGTTAAAGTCCAAGTAAAGCAGTTTTACAATCCTATCACACTTGAATTAGGGTCTGCAAAAATGCATTTTCTGTAAAGCAATGAAGTTTAAACCTTGGAACCCCTCAATGGATATTACATAGGCTAATAACATTGTGTAATAACCCAGGAAGTTATTTGATCTGATTTCTTCTTTCTTTGCTGACTGCATCATAATTTCTTCCCTAAATTTGGCAACACAATATAGTTTTCAATCACAAATTCTGAACAAACTAAAGTTTTGTAAAGCCCCACTGCACTACTTGTCGCTACTTGCTCCTTCTATATAGAAAGCAATGGCTAAGCGGTGCCTGTTGGTCCCCCATGATCCTCTTTTTCTTATGTTCATTGAGAGCTGAGTTGATGAGATAACCACCTGTCAGTGACCACGCTGGGTGGTCTAATCCCTCCTGGCCAAAC